CAATATTTCTGTAGATACAACCAAAAATCCTATTTGCCCTACCACTAGCAACAGCATACTGCTTGGATGGCTTAAGAGAAAGATCGAATATTACACCAAGATCTCTTTCCTTCATAACACTATTAAGGTAATTCCCATCCAAACTATCATAACCCACATGCATTATCTTGCATTTATTATAATTAAAACCCACCTGCCATTTATTTGCTCAACTCACTAAATGATCTAAATCCTTTTGTAAATCAGCAGCATCCTCTTCACAGTTAGCAACACTCAAGACCTTAATATCATCTGGAAAGTTATGTAATTTATTGACCATTCCTTCATCTATATCATTGATGTAAATCAAAAAGAGCAAAGGTCCTATTGACTGTTCCCTGAGGTATCTTACTTGTAACATTAATCCAGTTTGACTGAACTCCATTTGTAATAACCCTCTGCTTTCTTCCATCCAGCCACTCTTCTATCCAATTTGCTAACTTTTCCCTCACACCTATAGAGCTAATTTGTATTACAAGCTTTTATGTGGCACTTTGTCAAATTCTTTCTGAAAATCCAGATACACCAAAGCTAAACCCTTACCCTCATCTACATAAGCAGTAACCTTTTCAAAGAATATTAAAAGATTTGTAAGGCAAGATTTTTCCTTAGACTATCCAATAAAATTCTAAACTCTATTAAAAGACTTTGCAAAGCATCTTTTAACAGACTTTCCAAAGCATTTTTCACAACTGATGTAAGACTAATGGGTCTATAATTATTGGGACAAGTTTCATCACCTCCTTTAAAAAGAGGAGTTACATTAGCTAACTTTCAATCCTCTGGTACCTACCCACTATTCAAGGACTGACAAAAATTAGTAGTAAGTGGTTCACATATTCAATCTTTAACCTCCTTCAAAATCCTTGGGGAAATATTATCTGGCCCAAGAGTCTTATAGTTTTTAAACTTCCCAATTTTTTCTTAACCAGCTCAGAATTAATGCAGTCATCTAGTTCAGTCTTGTTTCCATTTATCAACTGTTCATTATGATGAGGAATACTGCTTAAATCTTCATTAGTAAAAACTGAAGAAAAAGCAAAATTTAATAGCCCAGCCATCTCATAATCATCAGATACTACCCTTCCTTTGTCATCCCTCAAGGGTCCTACCCCATCCTAACATTTTGTTTACCCTCAATGTATTTAAAGAAATCCTTACTGTTAATTTTTACATTTTCAGCCAACCTTTTCTCATACATCATTTTGTACGTCCTAATTTCCTGTTTCACCAACTTTCTTGATCTTCTATAATTTAATCTCCTGTCATACCAGTCAATTTAAATTTCTTACATTTATGATGCTCTTCATTAATTTTATCTGTTATACTCCTTGTGAACCAACCTGGTGGTTTACATGCAGCTACCCTTTTCTTTCTATAAGGAATATGTTTACCTGGAATATTTAAAAATTTATCTTAAAAATTTTCACATCTAATGAGAACGATCTGTCATGTGGTAGCTCATGTTGCTTTTGGTAAGTGCAAGGTTTTTTGGAAACATGGCATTTGGTTAGTCTGAAACTTTCCTTTTATCTGGTTATTTATTTCTAAAACTTGGTCTTGACAAGATTAAACCTGAGAGAAGCTATTTAAAGCAATCATTCAGAGTAAGTGTTCTGCAAGATATATGTAGTGTATTACTTATGTCCAATCTCATTGTTTCATTTTAAATCAACTCATTCAAGTAAGAGTTTTTGTTACACTTCACGCATGCAACAAATATGATGAAATGATACCTGGAAAGAAAAAAGAGGCCAAAAGAAAACTTGAAGCCATGGCACAGCTTGCACAAAGTTCAATTATGAAAATTATTGAGGTTGGATGGACTTATATGGAACCAAATGGAAAACATACACTTAGCAGAATTATTGGGGAGTAATACAGAATATTTAGAACAATATTTTAAATCATTTAAAACCTGTGGTAGCATAAAAACTGCTCTGTTTAAAGAAAATACAAAGTACTAGAGCATTGTACAACTTTCCTCTTGTGTGTTTTCTGTAGTAATGTATTATACTGATGATAAATTCACCAGTTAGTTGCAGGTACTCATTGTTTGTGATTCCTGTATGCGTATCACTCATGCATTTCTGTAATTACTTCCAATACTGTGTATAGTTATATGTTGAAATATTCTGTTCTATTTAATACATTAAATGATAGAGTTTGAGTTTTACTCACTTTCATGATTCATCCATCTCTATGATGCAGCAAATACTTCTATTTGACAGTATCAAAAGAAAATTTAAAATTGAGTATTTGAAATAGCAGTTGATACTCAATATTTTACACGTATTTTATATGTACATGTTATAAGTGTGTTTACATATGTTTATCTAACCTGCTTCTGTTTGCTTTGTATATCTGCTCATTAAATGTTGTCAAAATTCAGAAATATAGTATTAAATGTTCTTGTTATTGACACAGTTTGCTTTATTTTATAGCATATTTTGTGGATAAAAATGCCCTAAAATTTCTTAGTTTGTTTAAGTTATAAACACAAAATTTAATTCATAAGTATTCAGTTACAAATTAAAGTTTAATTTACATACATGATTACATTTAATCACTTTTAAGATATTACATCTGAAGTTTTGTGTGCCAGTATTCCCATACTAAATTTGATTCAGGTCTGAAGTATAAAGGGTGAGTCATAGAGAACCCTCCAATAAAAATAGTACAGATTCTAGTTCTGGTGTATTTCATGCAACTTTTTAATGTCACACATGTGTTGATATTGGTTGTGAGCACTGTGGTTTTGATAGAGTAAATCTGATGATATAATTTATGAGTAACAACAAATTAAAAGTAATATTTATCTATAAGAAGTTTAATTAGAAACAGTGGTGCTTTCTGAGTTGTACCAGTATTATTATATTTCATTACAGGTTTCTGGAGCCTTGATACAGAAATTAGAAAAACATAGCAGGTATGTTCTCAATTTTTATTTTAATGTTTAACTGTTCTGTTTCATGTTGGAAAAATTTATATATTCAGTACCATCTGCATGTGTCCCTTATACCTTGTGAACTGCTGAATCAATTATTACCAAACCTAGCATATATGCTTAGGAAACCCTGTGTCAGAATGAATGTGGCAGCTGGTATTTTATATTTTAACATTACTGTGAAGCATGTTTAGTGTACAGTAATTTTTTCAAGAATTATATTGAAAACAAATGGCCTTAAAACTGGCATAATTTAAGTTAAAGTTCACTATGGTTGCTATTATTGTGATATTTAATTGTAGAGTACATTAGTTGAGTACTTTTTAATAAAATGATATTGGAGCCTCACCATATTGTTATATACTGTGTTGCCACCTCTGTTCATGTTGTATTTGACAGCAGTGCATCTTGACAATAGCCTTACACCATAGTTCCATTGCAAAAGGCTGCATTCTAAGGCTATTATGCCTAAAACACACTTCCTCCATGATACTTTCCATAAACCATATAATGTACAAAGATAAAAGTTTCCTAGTGCTTGTTTCAATAGTCTGATTACATGGAAATCTATAGGATCTGTGTCTGGTGGTTTGAACACTATGTCTTTCTGTGGAATAGCATGAATGCCCATTTCATTCTGCTTGGGGTATATGATGGTTGAACAACTATGCTGTGGAAGTAACTTGTGTACATGTAACTTGTGACACTTATCCAAACAGAGATCCTTTTTGATTATGGAACATACTGTTGCTTGGGATACATGGAAGGGAAGGAAGGCTTTTGCTACTGACCTTTATGTTCTTAGATCCTCACCTGTTGCAAAAAGCTGCACTCCTAGTGTCCCAAGTTGATTCACATTCTTTTGTAAGTAGCTAGAAATAAGCAGAAAGAAAGTTAGAGATCTTTATAATTTATTCATAATATATTGTATACAAAACAGGCATAATATCAGTTCAAACAAAAGACAGTGTGAAATTGTATTTATAACTAATTATTAGCCAGAAATAAGTGCCCTGTTACTTTTGTTTCATGCAACATAATAATGATAAGAATTCGGTACCTTAAAATGTTTTCAAGTACTGGATACTAGTTTTCAAGACTTCATTAGTTCTTTTCTCAGTAAATAATTAGTTTCAGCTATTAATATTCCATTCATGTAACTTACATGTATTAATCACAAGGCATGGCCATCATTTTCAAAGAACTCAAACCAAAAATGGGGTCTCTGAGACTTCCTCTGCAAAAATGCTTCAAATAAATGTAGAGTGAAATAATGAATTTCCAAGTATCTGTAAACACTGTGCATACAACAAAATAATTTCATAAAGAGCTTTCTCATGTAATAGTTGAGGTTAAAAATCAACTAAAATGTTTGCATTGGAGAATTATAGGGGGAGTATACAAACCACCTGAAATCCCCTTTATTATGGGCATAAATCAGCATGTGAAGTAGTATACACTGTCCATTGTCCATTTAAAGTCAATACATAATGGATAACAGTTTTTCATTATTATTTTAAGATGATAGGAATAGTTCATAATTTCCTACAGTTTAAATTTTACTCCAGTTTTGTTTTAAGCAGTGGTTGATAACCTTTAACCCTCTCTCCACAGGCATTTTTTTTCTTGGCATTTAATGGAGTTTTGGTGAGTTACATTAAAAATTAATTCAACTACTTTCTTTTCATGGTACCAGTATCCAATCCCAAATCCATAATGCTCAAGAGATGAGCCATGACTTCATGGGGTCATTTGGCCTGGCATATACAGATGGTATAAATAAAGTATGAAATACTACATAATGGTTGTTAATTGCCTGCCTTTTGAACATTTTTATAGTGAATAAAGGTGTAATAATTCAAGTAATGCAGAGAGAGGACTGTGCAACCAAAGGACAGGTTTGAACAGAGATCACATGTACTGCATTGAACCCCCAAACAAAGTGGCTATGCCAGTAATTAATCTAAAATTAATCCTAAAAGAAACTTGTACTAACTTATTTGTATATACCTATTTGTACAGTATATTTTAGTGTTATTTTCAGTAGTTTCAAGTTGGAAATGTGCATCAATAACCAGAAAAAGTCTGAATATAAGGACAGGATGTCATGTACCACCAGTGGTGCACTCAAGAGAAAGCTGTCAGTGCAGTCATTCTGTCATAATACATAACATAAAGGCATAAAATTAGCAGTATCTATGACAGAGTTTACAATGAGGCTTTAGGTTCCTATTGCATAATTAGAGAAATCACTTGCGCCACGAATGTGTTAAAAAAAATCTTGAATTTCTTCTACTGTAAGGGTTGTGACATTTTCTCTCTAGGCATCCTCTCTTCTGTAATTTATTTATCACCCCTCCAAGAAGTATGAAATTTAATGTAAATTACTTATCATAATATAATCATTGCTGTGGCAAAGCATAATTTTCATAGCCTTCAATTTTATTTGGTTACAAAGCCATGAAATAGGCAATCAGACCCCTCTTTCCATGCCCACCTGTCACATCCTATTTTTCAGAAATTGACAATAGTTCTCTCAAACGTTCAATACTATACTATTTATAACTAATAGAAGGCCAAGTTTTTCATCTCTCAATTGACGTACATTATTATTTGTTTTCTCTAAAGAGAATTGTCAATTTCTCTTTCAGTTCAAGCTTAATTCACACTGCTCTTATCAGCTCTTTTTGCATGGTTAGAAAGCCAAAAAAATTTTGATAGTTATAGGACATTGTCTGCTTTTTTGAATATTATTATTCTGTGTTCTTTGGTGCATTATTTGATTAAATAAAAAATTATTTATTGCAGTACTACCATTAGTATTAAAAAGTAGGTTAAGTGTCTTCAATAGTTGACAGTATAAAAAAAAAGAAGACTCAGGTTAGTACTTTATTTCTTGTTTTTCATGTGTATTCTTTAGTTAGTATTATTATAAAAATAACAAAATGTGAAAATATGAACTTTTTATGTTAGTTCAGGTTAGATTAGAGGAAATAACTGATAATAATAATATAATTTTTCACGAGGACGCTCACAAGCAGCTTGTGCTTAATTTAACTCAATAGCATAATGTGAGCTGCAAGTCTGCCAAGATATGTACCACTTATAATGGCATGAATAGTAGTTAGACAGGATTCAAAGGGCAATAAAACAATAACATTTAAGTATAAATAGATGTATACTGTTGTGAGTTTAAAGATATTTCATATAAACAAATGCAGTTTCATATTACAATTTGAAGTCATCTAGAAAGAAAAAAGTAATTTATATTTATTTTGATTTTTTTTTAGTGTTACGAGGTCAGTCAAATTGGCCAACCCTGTATAGAGTTAGGGTAGAGAAAATAACAGATAAAATGTAAAGTTTTACTAAAAAAAATTTGAAATTTATTTAGGAGGTTTTAGAGATTATGCAAATAAAATTTGAGATTTTTAAGACAAGAAAAAGTATTTCTAAGTGTAATATGAAAATCACTTTGCACTCCGAGTAGTATACAGAAATACTATATATATTCATGGACAAATCTTTAGTATAAAATACTTAATTAAAAGATTTAATTTTTTGTGTACAAGGGACTTGTAATGTGTACTAAAAGTCTGCCAAATTTTATGAAGATAAACAAAGTGTATTAAAAGTTATTGAATGGGAACTAACAAGTACAAAGTTGGTTGATTCAACTGATCTCATAGTGAGAGAGTTAAATAAACCTTTGAGAAGAACAGTTGCATGATCTCATGAAATACACAGTAATAACAA